GGGGTGAGGGCTGCGATGATAGCGGGAAGGGATCAACTCAATCACTGCATTGAAGGTTTTTGAAAGCTGAAATCTGAGTCCACTCCCTCTGTTTAATGTTAAGGTAATGTTAAGAAAGAAAAACCATAGAGAGGGGCATTGCAGACTAACAAAAGCAGCCAAACGACTCCATTCCAAAGGGGCGGACCCGGACCTGGTCGTCCAATTCAATTAGCATGTTTCTTAAAGGCGTAGTTGGACTTCTGTATAGGAGCCTCAAACTCAACATTATTTCTGACATTTGAATTTAAAAAGCTGTATGGATGGAAAGTGAAACTTCTTCAAACTTGGAAGTCCAGTAGATTGTTTTTTAACTCTTTTTTAAACTTTTTTTAATGTCTGAAAGTGCGTATGCACAGAAAGAGATAGCTAACGTGACGAGCATGTTGGACGGCCGTACGTAAACATATTGCCAGAATGATTGACAGTTAGGAGGACCACTTATTGAGATGATCCACCCGGAAATAAAAGATCCTCCTCTGTATCTTTAAGGTGATGTCAGATCCTAGTAGCTCCATGATAAAGCTGAGAAATAGCTTCTTCTCAGCATTACATTTCCTCATACTCAAGCCAAAAAAAGAACCAAAACTATGGGGGAACATCCCTAAACTTTTCACTTAAGGAGGCAAAGAGGTTTACATGCTGCACGGAGGTTACCTCTTTCCTCCTGAACAGGTTACCCTAAGGCAGGGGTGTCAAGCTGGTTCCAGAAAGGGCCGTGTGGCTGCAGGTTTTCTTTCCAACCAAACAATGGCACACCAGACTCCATTCCTCTCATCAAGTGAGTCCAATCTGAACATGATGACTTGATGACCTTTCTGAAACCAGTTTGACACCCCTGCCCTAAGGTTAGCAACCTTAGAGCTTCAGAGCTGCCATCCTGCACCTTTTGGATGTGTCCCAGCTCACCTAAATGTAAGGACTGAGTTACCTCCTCATGCACAGGTTTTTACAGACCCTGCTAATGACCAAGTCATGTGATTTGGGTATGCTGAGGCAGAGATGTATCTAAAAAGTGCAGGACATTGTCCCTCGAGGTCCTGGTATAACAGCACTATCATCAGGCTCATACTGGTTTTATTGTGACATGTAGATAAATCATTCATTAATTATTTTATTTCCAGCGTGCATTCATTGAACTTTAATCATGTTCCATCATAAGCCCTGATATGAATTTTGAACATTTGAACATTTGAGGCCCCAGGCTTGGTGAACTGAGATTTAACAAAGGACAAACTAAGGGCTGGTTATCCTTCGCATATTTTGGATTTACGCCCAATATTGAAGCGTGGTCTGCGCTATGTTATTCCACGGCACAACGCCAGAGGGACAATCAGGAACTAGCTGTGGGTCTAGATACGGCCGAGGCGGTGAGGAAGTGGAGGCAAAGTTGTGCGACAACGGAGGGACATGAGGGCCAAAAAGAGCGGGGATCCAGGTGGAAAAAGGGTCCCAGCGTTCTCACGCACCTCGCTCTTCTACCTGGTCCATAAATATTTACCCAGAATGCAGAGCATATATTATTTTAGGTTTTTTTTCCGTATTTTATTGGTCTGTTTACCTTTTAGTCAGTTTTATAGTCTTTGAGTGTTTTCAGTTATTTCCTTCTTTATTTATCTGGTGATTATTGCTTTATTATTGCAGAGGTTCTCTCTGGTGTTTTTACTGTATAAACATCATTTCTCCCTCATCCTCCAGTCTTTTCCATATTGTCTGCTCCTCTGTTCTTCAGCTGTCATTCCTGTTTGTTTTCACTGGATCCTCTGTTTTTTCTCCTGTTTCTGCACATTTTCTGCTTCTATGTTTTCATTTATTAAATACATGTTTCTCACCATGCTGCATCCAAGCCTCTGCTTGCATACCTTTTCTAATCAACATGCCCTAACACGGTGATTGGAAGTAAAATTATTTTTCTATCAATTGAAGATTTATCTGACTGAGTTTAAGGACCAAACAATAGAAAGTAAATGATGTATTTAGTTTGGACATAAATTGTCTTCATAATAATTGGGGTGATTGAATATTATTAAATGCAATAAGGGTAAGTTTAATTCAATTTAAACTGTTGCAGTTGCTTCTTCTTATTACTAATATTAATGTTATAATTATGTTATTGAATTATTAACTTCCATACATCCATTTTCCATCACCCCTATCCCAAGCAGGGTCGCTGGTGTCTATCTCCTGTTGTCTACAGGTAAGAGGCGGGGTCCACCCTAGACAGGTCCCCAGTCCATCGCAGGGCAACACAGAGATAAAAAGAACAAACAACCATCCACACACACTCACACCTAAGGAGAATTTAGAGAAGCCAATTAACCTAAATTCATGTTTTTGGGCTGTGGGAGGAAGCCGGGGTACCCAGAGAGAACCCATGCATGCTCAGGGAAGACTCCGGGCCGGGAATCGAACCCAAAACCTTCTTGCTGCAAGGCAGCAGTGCTACTGTACAAATTTTCTTTATCAAATCCATGGATTAAAAAAAAACAACAACATAAGATTCAAAAAGAAAAATGATTAATTGCTTTTATGAGTAATTTCTATTAATTACAAGTTTTAATTAATTACAAGTTTTATTATTACGACTAATTTCTGTTAAATAGTGATCACTGATTGCGTTACTTTCGCCTTTTGTTTAAAATAATTGTATTTTTGCATTCTTCAATAAGTAAAATGCAATGAAAGATATAGTTAAATTGTTCAACATTCTAACTTTTTTCATTCAGAAATCGAGGTGCATAAAATTAGATAATGGGGGAAAAAGGATAATTAAGTTTTATTTCATTTCCTTTGGAAAACAATGTTTTCGTTTTTTATTTCAAACAGAAATAGATGAACTACAGCGCCCTCTGGTGGCTCCTCACCTAAAGCAACAGTGTTGAGAAAGACACAGTCAGTAGTAATGAATTCTAATGAAAAAGGAAGTTAGAGGGTTTTCCTGATTTTCTTGAACTCTGAATAATAATTTTAAAGTAAATTTGAATTCTGTCCTTCAGTAATAATAAGATGGAGTTTGGAAAAGACTTAAAATCAACTTTATTGATCCCTTAGGATTAGTCCTTCAGGGAAATTCCTGCTCCAGTAGCTTATATAGACTAAAAAGAGTTAAAGCAAGATGCCATTAAAGATAAAATACAGTATAAAAAAGTGTCCAAGGTACATAAAAGCATAAAAACTATCTGCACAGTAGAGAGCTAAAGGAAGACTAAACAGTAGCTGACTTGGATTATTGCACTTAAACTACTGAAATGTTCTGACCATATAAATAAGGAAAAATTATACAAACTAGTATCTTATATAATGTTTTCCTAAATTCCATCTTTTCATGCTTAGCTGGGATCATTTCCCTCCTTCTCTGTAAGTAAAATATAGAGAAAATACAGCAAGAAAACTTTATAAACAAGAATTTTACCTGTTGGCATTTTTTATATACTTCTGGTATTTTATTTATCCAGAATAGCAAATATATCCTTTCTGAAAACAAGTCTGAATGGTTCATAAGGAAATTCTTTCCTTCAGGTCATCTATTTCACAGAAATGGTGTTTAATAAATGAAAGAGTACAATAATGTATCTGATGCTGTAAGTAAAGAAACATTTTAATTAGAAACAATGTCGTTAATAAGGAGAAGTCCTTATAAAATGTAACTGACACCATCGTCTGTAAAACTTGTTTTTACAAACTGTAAGAAGCAGAAGATTTATCTACACTCTTTTAAAAAAGATATTTCTCTTCATCTCTTTTCTGCTAAAGACTTTGTTCCTGATTCACTTTGGAAAAATGTGTGGATATTTAATCCGAAACATTTGTTAAGAGACAAAATAAGAGATTTTGCATCTCTGCTTAGACTTCTGCCTCAGCGACCGGTGACGCGGTTAAAGCGGAAGAAAATGGATGGAAAATTAAAGATTTTTTATTTAAACAGTTGCAAAGAATGAATAATTAATACATGAATGAAATGTATCAAACCATTAAACCCAGACTGTAGGTTTAGCAAAGTTCATCAGTCAGTTATGTTGGAGCTGTCATTCCACAAAGACATTTTGTAAGGATTGAAATTACTTTCTAATTTATAATGTTGAGTTTCCATTTGAGGGACACTTTTTATAGTTTGGTATAAATAAGAAAAAAAATACATATGCTACCGCTGGCCCATTTTATTTCTACAAATGTAATATTTCATCATTTTTATATATATTTTTTATTTTTAAAGAAATGTTATTATATTTTACCACGTTTTTTTTTTTAATTATCATTTTAATAAAACATATATTTGTGCGGAAGAATATTAGGGCCACTGAAAAAATAAAACAAATCCAATTTCAATTTTATTTATTTATTAAATAAT